AGCTGGAAGGGACCTTGGGGGTCTTCTAGTCTAACTCCCTGCTCAAGCAGAATTTCCTATACCAGTGGTGGCGAACCTATGGCACAGGTGCCAGAGGCGGCACTCAAGAGCCCTCTCTGTGTGCACGCGCGCCGCCGCCCAGTCCTAGGCCTTCAGCTGGGTTTTATAAAACCTTTTCACTTTAGGCCTCCGCTGACATGTGCAAAAAAAAAAAAAAAGGTTCAATCAATCAGTCAATTTCAACTTCTCGCGGGGAAAAAAAAGATCTTGCAAAGTTGGAAGGGGCGTTGTCTTACCTGAATGCCTTTTCTCAGCATGATGATGGAGAATTGATTGATTGAATTTTTTAGTCCCACCCAGTCTGCCATTACCACTCAGCCACGCCCACCCAATTGGCCACACCCAGCCAATGGTCCACACCCACCCGGCACCCGACGATGCATAAGTGGGTTTTGCGTTGCAGTTTGGGCACTCGGACTCTAAAAGGTTCGCCATCACTGTCCTATACCATTTCAGATAGATGGCTGACCAGTATTTTCTTAAAAACCTCCAGTGATGTAGCACCTACAACTTCTGAAGACAAGCTGTCCACTGATTGTCCTCGCTGTTAAGAAGTTTCTCCTTAATTCCAGGTTGGTTCTCTCCTTGATGAGTTTCCATCCATTGTTTCTTAACTTGCCTTCTGGTGCTTTGAAAAATAAGCTGACCCCTCCTCTTTGTGGCAACCCCTTAAATACTGGAATATTGCTATCATGTCACCCCTAGTCCTTCTCTTCTCTAGACTAGCCATACACAATTCCTGCAATCGTTTTTCATATGTTTTTTGTCTCCAGGTCCTTAATTACTAAGGCTTTATAAAACAGTACTAATATACTTCACGTGATTTTGATTCTATTCCTCTATTCATAGTTTAGTCTATTAGTTTTTTGGCTGCTGCTACACACTGCTGGCTCATGTTTAAGTGACTGTCCACTAGGACTCCAAAATCCTTCAAACAGTTACTATTTTTGAGCCAGATTTTGCCTAATCTGTACTTGTACCTTTTGTTTTTCCTGCCTAGGTGTAAAACCTTGCTTTTCTCCATATTAAACTTCACATTGTTGGATAGCCCATTGTTCACGTCTGTCAAGATCTTTTTGGATCCTGAGCTTGTCTTCTGGGTTACTGGCTATTCCTGCCAATTAGTATCATCTGCAAATTTGATGAGTTCCCTTTCTGTTCCTTCATCTAAGTCAGACATGTCAAACACAAGGCCCAGGGGCCGGATGCGACCCATACGTGGTTTCATGTGACCCACGAAGCCATACTGGAAACAGTGAGGGAATGGCCGCCGCTGCCTTGGTCCTGGCCCAGGCCATCCAGGAGCCAATGTACAATTTTGTGATGGCCATCTATGTTGAAACGCATTCAGTCTTAGCTCCACGAGGCCGTCTGGAAACAGCGAGGAACCAGCCCCTGCCGCATCGGCCCTGCCCCCTGTGTGCATGCTGGGGAGGTGTCACCCTTTCTGAGGAATGAAGAAATGCATCATTGCCTGGAAGTGGCCAGCAAATGGCCCTCACCTACTTCACATATCCGGCTTGATGGGCTCCGGGGGAGGGGTTTCAGCAGGCTCTTCCAGTTGGCCATGCCTTGGCGCTTGCCCTGGGCCCATCCCCTTCTGCCAGAGACCCTCAGATCTGTCCCACTCCTGCCCAGGCCCCCACAGGCACCCTTGACGCAAACGATGTAGAGCTGGCCATGCTCACCCAGTAGGCCACACCCACTCCAGCCATGCCCACCCAGTAGGCCACGCCCATCTTGGCCACACCTACCCCCCGAGGACAACCGCATTGCTGATGCAGCCCTCAATGAAATTGAGTTTGACACCCCTGATCTAAGTCATTTATGAAGGTATTGAAGTGTACTGGGCCTAGGATGGGACCTTGTATTCCACTGCTTACTTTCCTCCATGTAGACATAATATCATTAAGGACTACTTGTTGAGTATAGTTTGTTAGCCAGTTACAAATCCATCTGGTGGTGAAAATGTGTGCATGTTATGGAACATCATAATGTAATGATTTGCTAGGGAGAGTGATATTTCGTTGTTTATTTATTTATCTTCAGTTACATAGTATATTAGAACAGAAACTATAAAATAGGGACTGGCAATGTGTACCTTCTCAACTAAACTTAATTCAAAAAATGGTGGTCCCTGACTCAGCTGCTCTTCCTTCACCTGGAAAATAAATCACCAGGAAGCAGTGAGCAATGGCAAGGAGTAAAATGGTTGCCAAAGACGCTGCTTTGAAGTTTCTTAACTTTTTATGAGCATCTGAAAACCATGGAAAAGCAAATAGGGCTTTACTGAATAATGATCCAACATACTTCACTGTATAGTTCCTTGCCTACTCACAGTGAAGGAGGAAGAAAGAAAAGGAGGCAGTTAACATAAACTTTAAGCTTTTAATCTAACTATTCAGAAAAAAAGAACTTCAACTTCAGTGCCAAAAGAACAAATCTTTGAAAACCATGCTGCTTCTATAGAAAAATATTGGAAGGTATTATGATCACAAATTTGACCTTAAGGGTGATATTTTGACCAAAAACATGTCAAACAGAGAGTATTATATAAATATTTGAAGGAAACATAAAATTGGGGGAGGCATATTATATTAATTTCAGATGGTGATTATCACAAGAATAAAGCAAAGATAATTAACCATAATTGTTAAAATAGAAAAAAAAACAGGACATGCAGTAAATAAATGTAAACTATATATTAGTTTGCTTTCTGGAAATCAAAAATCTACCTGAGGGCTACTAGTAGCCAACAACCCAAGAGTCAGGATGAAAATATTTTTAAATTTATTACACAAATACAGAGACTGCCACTTACAAGAAAATTGAAAAGAAGCATAATTAAGAAAAAAATACTACTGTGCATGCCTTAATTTTAGTTGCACCTTTTAACCTTTTTTTTTACTTTTTGCACTTTGAATAGAAGCTGATCTATTCATTTATTTAATAAACTATAAGGTGCATTTATATAATTTGACCGCTTTCTCATATTATATGCATCACACATGGTCAGCTACAAGGCCTCTTCATCCTTCATGTTCTCTTTGTGCTAAAAATCTATATCCACTTTTCTTCATCATTCAGTTGATTCATTATGTGGTAAACAGCAGAAGGCCACACATCTACCTTGATAAGAAAGATTGGGGGGGGGATTAATATCTTTTTCACTCCTTCTCCCAAGCAACTCTATGGAAAAAAAAAAAATCCCTGTTTTCTGTTTTCAAGAACTGTATCTATAGGGCTTCAAAGGGAGATCTACCTAAGTTCTTAACACAGTAAAAGCAAATTAAAATATTAATTTCAAGTATAATACATTTGTTATACATGCAAGCCCAGCATATGAATATATATGAACTGTATTATGCCTTTGAGATTAAACCATAATTAAGATAGTAAGACTAAAAGTAACAAACTTTGCTCTCAGTCAAAGATAAATTAATTTCATTCTGCAAATGAAGTTTCTGTCTGCTGAAATAGAGTTCAACTTCTATTTCTCTGTGAAAAATTGTCAAAAAAAACAACAATCCCAGAGTTAAAATCTAAATTAAATTAAAATTTCTGTACTATTATGAACACTTGCTGTTGATATTAACGATCAGTGTTGTCGATTTTAATAGCACTCACATTTGCATAACTATGCTCGGTACAAGAGCACAAGTGCTGAGGTGTAAACCGCACTGGCAAACATAGTTGTTATAGAAATCCCAATATTAAAAACAGAATTAGAAACAAAATGCAAGCTGTTGTTTATATATACCTTATTTTTCTGCAAGTATCTGATATTCCTCAAACCAGAATTGCAAAATATGCTTGAACTATTGAAATTACGGTTTTGTTTTTTTAATTAGTGAAATGTATTAAATACAAATTTTTACTCAGGTTCTCGTAACTTGGTAGCACAGATTGTTAATAATAATAATATATATCAAAAAAGGGTAACTTTTATCAGACTGAATGCTTATTACGAACTACCTATCAAAAACTGTAAGCAGGAGTCAGGGAAAAAAATAAAAAAAAGCAGGGAGGCCAGTGTAAAATCAAAATTTTAATTTCTATTACATCTATTAAATCCAACTTTTATACAAATCAAATTGAACTGAATCAGGTTACGTGATTATTACCTGTGTATTTAATAACTGGACTCCTATCAAACTAAGAATTATAGTTTGTAAGCTTTGAAGGGACTCTAAAACTATGTGTTCTCAGAACTCAGATTGTACACCTCTAATAAATATTTTATGCACTGAATACTACAGATTTCTATGAAAAAAGACATTCAAAACCATTAATATTTAGTTTAGCTCCACCTGTTTGGCTTTAGGTGTAAGACAAACTGATACTATGGCATCAGTATATGACAGTGTTTCTCAACCTTGAGAGCTCGAAGATATGTGGACTTCAATTCTGGGTGTTGAAGTCTACACATCTTCAAGTTCTCAAGATTGAGAAACACTGATGTATGATATTTCTATCAACAATGGGATGAGCTATCATGAAACATTTATATCTGACCTGATTCATCAGTACTGCATGAATAAATATATCTAAAATCACTATCTGGCCTTATTGATAAAATTATTCACCTCATGACAATTTTATTTTTTTATATCAATCAGAATTTATGCTAATGTAGTCCACAGGAAGTTTATTAATAATAGTAGGAAAAAACAATTCCATCGAAGAGATAAATCCACACATACATCCATGGCCTTAACTTAATAAGGCCATGAAAGTAACTAATATCCTGGGTAATGTTTCATGCAGCAAACAAATTCAAATAATACAATCAGCTAGTGAAAATTCTCTTACTGTTATTCCTAACCCTCCGTCTTTCTTCAGCTCAATAGAAAAGCTGGTGCAGAGAGGGAAATGATGTTAATATTATTATTGTTGTTATTACATTTACTACTCTGTCATTTTAAAAGGATCAATCTCACATGTCTAACCTGATCTCCAAAGTCCTCCGGGAACTTCCACAAAACCACAGGATCTGTAAATAATTGACAGGCAGCATTAATCAGAGGCAAAGAAGCAGCATCTTATAGTAGAGTACATTAATATTAAAGAGGGCCAATGTTGCTTTAGGCTCACAGAGAGATACTATACAAAAATGTGTCTAAGAAAAAAATCCTAAAGTATTCAAAATATGTTCTAAAATATCATAGTATAATTATATTTGCATATTTGTTAACAGTTCAGTAGGCTATTCTATGCTTATTTTACTCAATGCTTTTTAAGTGTACAGTTTTTCAACGTTATTTAAATTACTTACCCAACTGTTTTATATATTAAAGAGAGTTAGAATTAAGAGGAAATGTATCACTTCCTAATGTCATAAGTACTACTTTATTCTCTTAAAGGACCATCTGGTTTTTTTCCCCCTGTCCTGTAACCTTTGCAACATTTGGGATTTTCAGAGAATAAGATTGAAGAAAACAAACAAACATATCAATAGTTGCATCACGACACTGATGCATGCATGCATGTATTTGCTTTTGTTCCTGCTTCTACCAGTGAAACTTCCACTGTTGCATCTGCAAGTATGTTTAAATGCTGCATCCATTTAACCAAACAATCTTTCAGACTGTGTGTGTCATATGGATGTTTGGATTCTGGCTCATATTTTACTAGTAATTTATAAACTACGTCTAACCAATGTTCAGTATTACACATTATAAGATTTTCAGATACATCTCTCAGCATTCCTTGTTCTGGATTTCTTTTATTCCTGCACTGTTTCATTGTATTTCAAGATACTGCACCCAACTGAATGTTGAGGAGCATTGTGTGATAAGAGGCATTATTACATGACATTGTAGCACACACAGAAATTGTGATTGTACCTTACTCATTTTTATATATTTACTGCTACATCCAGTCATTTTATATGCATCTGAAACATAACTATATTCAATTAGATATAAGACACGCTTTAGATTATAGTAGTCCCCATAGTAATTCTAACTACCCACTTACAATGCATTTGACTTTTAATAAATATTTAGTAAGAAAATTATTTCATTAAAGTCAAGGGAGAAGAATAATTATATTATACATTATATTATTCCATACTATTTGAAGGAAAAGAAAGCCAAAAGAACTCTACAAGTATTACAAGCACATTACATATTCATTCAGAGCACATATAAGCTCTTATTTGAATGCAGTATAATAAGCAGCAATGGGAATTTCAATGGAAAATGATATTTAATTTCTTCCACATATTATACTTAGAGAAAATTGATACAAGATGTCCCACTGTTGGTATCGTATTCCAATTCTGATTGTTAAAATGAACAATTCATTTTCTAAAAATCGTTGGAAATGTAATTATCATGTTAGATTATTATTTTTTATTTGGTGGCAATCTTTTAAAGCCCATCAGATCCAGAAACTAATAATACTTTGAAACAAATCTTAAAAAGTTATTTTCCCATTTCAATATGCAATTTTATTACTGAACATTACAGAATCACATGTTGAATCTGCTTTGCATATGCCAATTGCTGCAAGGAAGGACTAGTCCAGGGGTAGGCAACCTTGGCTCTTTTATGACTCATGGACTTCAACCCCCAGAATTCCTGAGCCAGCCATGCTGGCTCAGGAATTCTGGGAGTTGAAGTCCATGAGTCATAAAAGAGCCAAGGTTGCCTACCCCTGGACTAGTGTACCCGTGAGAAGGGAAAAGGAGGACAGCACGGGGACATGCTTGCAAAGGGAGCCAAGAAAAGTGTGGCATTCAAGAAGGCTGGGGTGGAGGGAGGAATTACATTGTGGCTTTCCCTGTCAGCTTCCCCATTGACTTTCTTTGTAAGAAACTGACAGGGAAGGTCACAAATGGCAACTATATGACCGGAGGATATTGCAACTATCATAAGTACAAACATGTTGCTGAATACCCAGATCACACGCATATGACTGCAGAGGCACTGCAACAGCCAGAAACTCGATGAACAGTCATAACTATCACTCATTTAGCATCATCGCAACTTCAGTCATTGAACAAGTGGTTGGTGAATGAGGACTACTTGTAAATTGAAACTATACCTATCCTCATGAAAAGTATATATGACATGAAGCCTAATCCCAAAAGCACTAAGAAATGACTAAAAGATCACACCAAATTTCTGCAACCATTCACCAGATATTCTTCAACCATAATTAATTATGCCAGGTAGTGTTTCAGACCCATCTCCCAGAATAAATTTTTAATAAGACAAATGATTTATTTTTCTTAAGAATTATATAAATTTTATTCAAAAACAATAGTACTCCACATATTTACAAAAAAACAAAAGAAAATTGAAATTATTTTTACTGGATGAATTGCTGTGTGTTGATAATGTTTATGTTCTTGATTTATTTCTGCAGTTGTAACCTACTAGACATCAAAGCATCAAGAATTATGAATTTTCTTCATGCATGGGAGCTGACAAAATTATGCAACACTGGCAGGAGAAATCTACACCTAATTTGCAACAAGAGATTTTTGATAAGCACTGTCAACACTCGAATTACTTTTTTTTAATAAAAGAACAAAGAAAGAGTATATAAGAGTATAATTTTTTTAAAATACCATTTTCTATTAGTTTCTTTTCTCTTTATTTTAAGGATTAATTTTAAGTTAAACAATATTTCATATTTTTTTCTTTTGTTCAATAGAATATATTGAAACCAGTTTTACATAAGATCAGTTGCACCTGTGAACCACTACCATTCATAGTTCTCTTCCTGCAGGACTCAAGTACACAACATGTGGTGTATAACCAAATCATCCAGTAATAGATGCACTCTGAAAAAGACTGTCAAAGCTATAGGATAATGGCACCAGCTGAAAAAATTGACCCTCTCCTCTGCATAGAAGTCTGTTATTCTCAGTTAAGAAAGAAAATGGATCAAAGTCTCTGAGAATAATATATCTGTCCTAATCCCTTTTGAAGACACAGAAGTGACTTTACTATTTTGGTTATTGTAATATATAATATATGATATGCTTGCCTAATGTATTTAAATCTACATGTAAACTACTTAAATCTAGATATAAAATATTTATATCATCTTAAATAACAATGTTGAACAGGAGACAAAGGATACAAAATTGTGTGTGGTTTATTTAAAAAGAGCTTTCAACAGTGACTAATAAAACAGGAAAAGTCATTGTTCATTGTTCAAAGATATTATAAATCAATTCAAGAGACATTTCAGAGAAAATATTTTTATTAGAAAATATATCTCAAAAACGTTTACAAATCCAGTATTATCTAAATTTGTTTTTCTTATCAGATATTTGAATCTTACTTATTCATCATGCAAAGTATCCTATTTTATATTGCTTGAGGTTGAAATACTAAGAGTAGGCCCTACTACAATAATGGAAATGTGAGTTAAAACAAATATACACTAAAAATATACATATGCCTACCTTATTTTTTTTAGCTTAAATAAAAACATAGGACTACATATTTATATGAAGATCCAAAAAAGTCAAGTGTATAGTAATAATAATGGAATGCATTTGCAAGGCTGGTTCTGCTATTTTCTCATTTGTTTTTATACAATGTCATCTCCTCTCACATTCCTAGAATTGATGCTGCCTTGGAATGCAGGGCAGTTTAGACTCAAACTCACAAAGCACCCAATCTTGAGTGCTGACTTCATTATCTTTGTAATACATATGTATACAATAATTAGGGAGAGAGAGAGAGAGGAAGAACAGGTAGACTTTCAAGTATTTTACATAGTGTAAGACACTAAGTCCCTCTGAACAACATACAAGTAGTCCCGAATTTACGATAGAAATTGGGACCGGACATTTCTATCATTAAGTGATACAGTTGTACAGTGCAACCGCATCACTTTAGCAACAGCAATCCCTGTAATCCCAGCTGCCACTGTTAACTGAATCCCATAGTCAAGAGGTATGGAAATTCATTGCCAGTTTCCCATAACTAAAAGAAGTTAGGCAATAAATGGCTGATGGGAAAGTGGATGCTGCTAGGCAGGACAGGAAGCAAGAGGCTGCATGGGGATGGTGGGGGAGAATTGAGGATGGTGGGCGAGAGATGCTGTGCAGGTCAGGGAGAACGTGCAACAAGCATGGCGTGAGAGGTGATGTATGGGCCATAAAGGGTTGGAGGTTGTGTGCAAGCGAGTGTAGTAGAGGCATGGTCAGGAAGAATCAGAGAGGTATGCAAGTGGTGTGGCACAGATTAGGGAATCATTTGTACAAAACAACTTACGTGACAAGTAACACAGATTTTTTTTCTAGTTCATAATCCCTATGCCATTTGCCATTAATAGTATTAAAAGATACCTAGCATTTTCTCATAAGCAGACATTTTAAAAAAATTAATGTGAGAAAATGGTAATAATTAGAAAGTATGTATTTTCTATTTAGTGTTTCCTCATATAATTTGAAGGGTTGCGATGGCTCAGCGGTTAAAGACATTGAGCTTGTCAGCTAGAGCTGGCAGCCCAGGTTCGAGACCCAAGCTCCACGCAACGAGGTGAGCTCCTGTTACTTGCCCCAGCCCCTGCCCACCTAGCAGTTTGAAAGTATGCAAATGCAAGTAGATTAATAGGTACCATTTCAGTGGGAAGGTAGCAATGTTCCGTGCACCTTTGGCGTATAGCTATGCCTGTCATATGACATGAAAATTATCTTCAGACTATGCTGGCTCCCTCAGCCAAGAAACAGAGATGAGCACTGTGCCTAGAGTTGGACATAACTGATAGAGAAACCTTTAATTTTACATATAATTTACATTGTTTTGCATTTTGTATAATAGCCTCAAATACCAACAGCACTTTATATGTAAGGACAGGATGGCTAGCTACTGTGCTTTCTTCATAATCAGAAAATAGGTAGTTCTCAAGTTCCATTCATTTATTCAACATTCAAAGTTATGAAGGCACTGGGGAAAAAAATCCTCAAAGTTCCAGCTACCACAGTGCCCTGGTAGTCACTGCATTTATAACCACCACATACCA